TTGCTGTGTGTCCTTGTGGATTGCTGTGGTCTCCTTGTGGATTGCTGTGGTGTTGCTGTGGTGTTGCTGTGGTGTCACTGTGGTGTCTCCCCGTGTTGTGTCCCGTGCTTGGTCGCCCGTGCCTTGCATGCATGCCCCTCATGTTGTGATGCCTGCATGCAGCAGCGCATACTGCCGACACAGCGCATGTGCGTGTGTGTGCGTCTTTGTGTGTGTGTACGTGTGTGTCTTTGTGGGTGTGTGTACGTGTGTCTTTGTGTGTGTGTCTTTGTGTGTGTGTACGTGTGTCTTTGTGTGTGTGTACGTGTGTGTCTTTGTGGGTGTGTGTACGTGTGTGTCTTTGTGGGTGTGTGTACGTGTGTGTCTTTGTGGGTGTGTGTACGTGTGTCTCTTTGTGGGTGTGTGTGTACGTGTGTGTCTTTGTGGGTGTGTGTGTGTCTTTGTGGGTGTGTGTACGTGTGTGTCTTTGTGGGTGTGTGTACGTGTGTGTCTTTGTGGGTGTGTGTACGTGTGTGTCTTTGTGGGTGTGTGTGTGTGTGTGTCTTTGTGGGTGTGTGTACGTGTGTCTTTGTGTGTGTGTGTACGTGTGTGTCTTTGTGGGTGTGTGTACGTGTGTGTCTTTGTGGGTGTGTGTACGTGTGTCTCTTTGTGGGTGTGTGTGTACGTGTGTGTCTTTGTGGGTGTGTGTGTGTCTTTGTGGGTGTGTGTACGTGTGTGTCTTTGTGGGTGTGTGTACGTGTGTGTCTTTGTGGGTGTGTGTACGTGTGTGTCTTTGTGGGTGTGTGTGTGTGTGTGTGTCTTTGTGGGTGTGTGTACGTGTGTCTTTGTGTGTGTGTGTACGTGTGTGTCTTTGTGGGTGTGTGTACGTGTGTGTCTTTGTGGGTGTGTGTACGTGTGTGTCTTTGTGGGTGTGTGTACGTGTGTGTCTTTGTGTGTGTGTGTACGTGTGTGTCTTTGTGGGTCTGTGTACGTGTGTGTCTTTGTGTGTGTGTGTACGTGTGTGTCTTTGTGTGTGTGTACGTGTGTGTCGTTGTGGGTGTGTGTGTGTGTACGTGTGTGTCTTTGTGGTATGTGTGTGTGTACGTGTGTCTCTTTGTGGGTGTGTGTGTGTACGTGTGTCTTTGTGTGTGTGTGTACGTGTGTGTCTTTGTGGGTGTGTGTACGTGTGTGTGTGTACGTGTGTGTCTTTGTGGGTGTGTACGTGTGTGTCTTTGTGTGTGTACGTGTGTGTGTACGTGTGTGTCATTGTGGGTGTGTGTACGTGTGTGTCTTTGTGGGTGTGTGTGTGTACGTGTGTGTCTTTGTGTGTGTGTGTACGTGTGTGTCTTTGCGTGTGTGTGTGTACGTGTGTGTCTTTGTGTGTGTGTGTGTGTACGTGTGTGTCTTTGTGGGTGTGTGTGTGTGTACGTGTGTGTCTTTGTGGGTGTGTGTGTGTACGTGTGTGTCTTTGTGTGTGTGTGTACGTGTGTGTCTTTGTGTGTGTGTGTGTGTACGTGTGTGTCTTTGTGTGTGTGTGTGTGTACGTGTGTGTCTTTGTGTGTGTGTGTGTACGTGTGTGTCTTTGTGTGTGTGTGTGTGTACGTGTGTGTCTTTGTGTGTGTGTGTGTGTACGTGTGTGTCTTTGTGTGTGTACGTGTGTGTACGTGTGTGTCTTTGTGTGTGTACGTGTGTGTCTTTGTGGATGTGTGTGTACGTGTGTGTGTACGTGTGTGTCTTTGTGTGTACGTGTGTACGTGTATGTGTGTTGCCTTGCTAGGCAGGCTGAGGAGAGGCTTGCGGAGCCCCAATGCGGTTTCAGGAAAGGGCGGTTCTGCACAGATGCCATATTTTCTGTCCGTCTGCTACAGCAGAGGTGTAGGGAATTCCAACAAGACCTACATCTCTGCTTTATTGACCTGGTCAAGGCCTATGATACCATCAGTAGGCCTGGTCTCTGGGTTGTTCTTCGTGCTTTCGGAGTCCTTGACCCGCTGCTCACGATCATTAAGGACCTTCATGATTGTGAGCGGGCCCGGGTAAAACTACGTGGCCGGGAGTCAGAGCCATTTCCTGTACACCTGGCTCCAACATTATTTAACATCTATTTCGACCACGTAGTTCGTGAAGCCTTCAGTAGCTGTACCGGAGGAATTTCCATCTGGTACAGATACAATGGGAGGCTGATCGATGCCCGGGTGCGGTCAAGGAATGGCTCCCTATTGGTCAACCACGTTATGTATGCCGATGATTTGGTAATAGCTGCTCATTCAGAGGAGGAGTTGGAGATGCTGCTGCTGAAACTGGAGTGTGTCACTAAGAGGTGGAGCCTTAACATCAGCCCCACCAAAACTAAGCACCTGCCTGGGTATTTTGTACCATCGGACACTCCACCCCCACAACTCCTAATCGGTAATGGGGCAGTTGTGGAGAGAGTGGAGAGTTTCCCATACCTGGGCAGTGTGCTCATGACTGGCTCCGGTTTAACAGCTGAGGTCTCACTCCCAATCATTCGAGCGGCAATATATTTTCATCGGTTGCGTAATGCTCTGTGGAAGCTACCTGGTCTGTCGCTCCGCACGAAGCTTCGGATCTTCTCGGCCATGGTCATTCCCTCCCTTCTCTACGCTTGCGAAACGTGGACCCCGCTAATGGAGCATCTTCGCTGGTTAGAAACATTTAGGCTGGCCTGCCTACGATAAATCCTGGGTTTAACCAGGCTGGATTGTGTGAGGAGCTCACAAATCCTCGAAAAATCTGGACAAAGTCCCATCGGTGAGCACCTCCGGCAGGCAAGGCTGCATTGGCTGGGCCATGTAGCCCGCATGCCCAATCACCGCATGCGAAAACAGCTTTTGATCGGCCGGATCGAGGGGGCTAAACGGGCGCGGCACGGGCTAGAGAAGAGATGGAGTGATGTGGTACAGGAGAATGTGGAGCTGAGTGGACTTGCCGATGACCGGTACCAGCGGTGTCAAGATCGGCCTCTGTGGAGGAGGCTCATGAAGGACGCTACTAGGCAGTTGGAGGCAGTCGCCCTCCAACAACAACGGAGGGCGGAGGAGCGACGCTCACAACAACGAGCGGAGCGCCGGGTGGCTAAAGCACAGCAAGCTGGCACAGTAGGGGGCACAGGTGGTGCATCAGCCAGTCATCTCGGTCATCTCAGTCAGTCGACCCGTGGCACCTGGGTCTGCCCCGTGACCTGCCAGCGGGCATTCGATACTTCACGTGGCCTCAAGGTGCACATGGCCTGGCACAAGCGTCGGGGTGACGTCACCGCCACTTAGTGGCGAATGGCGGTTCTTGTTGTTGTGTGTGTACGTGTGTGTCTTTGTGGGTGTGCGCGTGTGTGTGTACGTGTGTGTATCCACGCCTGTGTGTGTACGTGTGTGTTCGTGCCTGTGTATGTTTACATGTGTGTGTGCGTGTGTGTTTGCGTGTGTGTGTACGCGTGTGCGTGTGTGTGTGTGTGTACCGGTGTGTGTACGTGTCGTTCCAGCCTTCATAGGTGCTCGCTAACAGCACTTGCCTCAACAGTCTGTTAAGGCTATCCGGGGGATCTTTGTCTTTGTACATGTCTGTACATGCCTGTGGGCGTACGTGTGCGTGTCCGCGCCTGTGTGTCCACACCTGCATGTGTGGGTACGTGTGTGCGCATAGGGATTAGGGCAGTTGTGGAGAGAGTGGAGAGTTTCCCATACCTGGGCAGTGTGCTCATGCCCGGCTCCGGTTTGACAGCAGAGGCGTCACTCCGAATCAGTCGAGCGGCAATATCTTTCATCGGTTGCGTAACGCTGTGTGGAAGCTACCTGGTCTGTCGCTCCGCACTAAGCTTCAGGTCTTCTCGGCCACGGTCATTCCCCCCCTTCTCTACGCTTGCGATACGTGGACCCCCCCTAATGGAACATCTTCGCCGGTTAGAAACATTTAGGCTAGCCTACCTACGTTCTATCCTGGGTTTAACCTACAGGCTGGATTGTGTGAGGAGCTCACAAATCCTTGAAAGATCTGGGCAAGGTCCCATCGGTGAGCTCCTCCGGCAGGCAAGGCTCCGTTGGCTGGGTCATGTAGCCCGCATGCCCAGCCACCGCATGCCGAAACAGCTTCTGTTCGGCCGGATCGAGGGGGCTAAACGGGCGCGGCACGGGCTAGAGAAGAGATGGAGTGATGTGGTACAGAAGGACGTGGAGCTGAGTGGACTTGCCAATGACCGGTACCAGCGGTGTCAAGATCGGCCTCTGTGGAGGAGGCTCGTGAAGGACGCTACTGGGCAGTTGGAGGCAGTCGCCCTCCAACAACAACGGAGGGCGGAGGAGCGACGCTCACAACAACGAGCGGAGCGCCGGGTGGCTAAAGCACAGCGGGTTGGCACAGTAGGGGGGCACAGGCGGTGCACCAGCCAGTCATCTCAGTCGACCCGTGGCACCTGCTGGGTCTGCCTCGTGACCTCCTGCCAGCGGGCGTTCCGCACTCCACGTGGCCTCAACGTGCACCCGGCCTGGCACGAGCGTCGCGTTCATGTCACCGACACTTAGTGGCGAACGGCGGTTGTTGTTGTTGTTGTTGTTGTTCGTACGTGTGTGTGTGTGTGTGTGCGCGTACGTGTGTGTGTGTGCGCGTACGTGTGTGTGTGTGTGTTCGTGTGCGTGTCCGCGCCTGTGCGTGCGTGCATGCATGCGTGTGCGTGCATGCCCGCGTGCATGCCTGCGTGCGTGCATGCCTGCGTGCCTGCCTGCGTGCATGCGTGTGCGTGCATGCCTGCGTGCCTGCCTGCGTGCATGCCTGCGTGCATGCCTGCGTGCGTGCGCGCCTTCGCAGCCGCCCCCGCCAGGCCTGAACCCTGCCTGGGTCCACGTGGGTGTCCTCCTCCTTCACCACCTCTGCCCGCGTGCGTGCCCACCCACCCCGCCCACCCCACCCACCCCACCCACCCCACCCACCCCACCCACCCCACCCACACCACCCACCCCACCCACCCCACCCACCCCACCCACACCACCCACACCACCCACCCCGCGCACAGTTTGCGTACCACGCGTGGGTCACCAGCTCGCGCGCGGCGCTGCAGGAGCGCCAGCGGGAGCGGCGCCGGGCCGAGGAGCTGCAGCGGCGGCGGCGGCGGCAGCGGCGGCGCGCGGCAGCAGGTGACCGGGGCGGCGGGTAGGCCGGTGTTGACTCCCTCGCCGGGCGCGCAGGAGGTCGTGGGTTCGATCCTGACCCTGACGACGCCTGCTGTATATTTGTAGTGTGTGCGTCTCTCTCATCATCATCACGGTGGCTAGGAGATGTTGACTCCCTCGCCTGGTGCGCAGGAGGTCGTGGGTTCCATCCCGCACCTGACGATGCCTGCTGCTGCTGTATATTTGGAGTTTGTGTCCCTCTCTCTGTCATCATCATCACGGTGGCTAGGAGATGTTGACTACCTCGCCTGGTACACAGGAAGTCGCGGGTTCGATCCCGCACCTGACAACGCCTACTGCTGTATATTTGGAGTCTGCGTCTCTCTCTCTGTCATCATCACTGTGGCTATGAGATGTTGACTACCTCGCCTAGTACACAGGAGGTCGTGGGTTCCACCACCGTCGTCGTCATCATCACGGTGGCTATGAGATGTTGACTACCTCGCCTAGTACACAGGAGGTCGTTGGTTCCACCACCACCATCATCATCACGGTGGCTGTGAGATGTTGACTACCTCGCCTGGTACACAGGAGGTCGTGGGTTCGATCCCGACCCTGATGATGCCTGCTGTATATTTGTAGTGTCTATGTCTCTCTCATCATCATCACGGTGGCTAGGAGATGTTGACTACCTCGCCTGGTACACAGGAGGTCGTTGGTTCCACCACCATCATCATCATCACGGTGGCTATGAGATGTTGACTACCTCGCCTGGTACACAGGAGGTCGTGGGTTCCACCACCATCATCATCATCACGGTGGCTATGAGATGTTGACTACCTCGCCTGGTACACAGGAGGTCGTTGGTTCCACCACCATCATCATCACGGTGGCTAGGAGATGTTGACTACCTCGCCTGGTACACAGGAGGTCGTTGGTTCCACCACCATCATCACGGTGGCTAGGAGATGTTGACTACCTCGCCTGGTACACAGGAGGTCGTGGGTTCCACCACCATCATCATCACGGTGGCTAGGAGATGTTGACTCCCTCGCCTGGTACACAGGAGGTCGTGGGTTCGATCCCGACCCTGAGGATGCCTGCTGTATATTTGTAGTGTCTATGTCTCTCTCATCATCATCACGGTGGCTAGGAGATGTTGACTACCTCGCCTGGTACACAGGAGGTCGTGGGTTCCACCACCATCATCATCATCACGGTGGCTGTGAGATGTTGACTACCTCGCCTGGTACACATGAGGTCGTGGGTTCCATCCCGACCCTGAGGATGCCTGCTGCTGCTGTAGATTTGGAGTCTGCGTCTCTCTCTCTGTCATCATCATCATCACGGTGGCTATGAGATGTTGACTACCTCGCCTGGTACACAGGAGGTCGCGGGTTCCACCACCATCATCATCATCATCACGGTGGCTGTGAGATGTTGACTCCCTCGCCTCGTACACAGGAGGTCGTGGGTTCCATCCCGACCCTGAGGATGCCTGCTGCTGCTGTAGATTTGGAGTCTGCGTCTCTCTCTCTGTCATCATCATCATCACGGTGGCTATGAGATGTTGACTACCTCGCCTGGTACACAGGAGGTCGTGGGTTCGATCCCGACCCTGATGATGCCTGCTGTATATTTGTAGTGTCTATGTCTCTCTCATCATCATCACGGTGGCTAGGAGATGTTGACTACCTCGCCTGGTACACAGGAGGTCGCGGGTTCGATCCCGCACCTGACAACGCCTACTGCTGTAGATTTGGAGTCTGCGTCTCTCTCTCTGTCATCATCACTGTGGCTATGAGATGTTGACTACCTCGCCTAGTACACAGGAGGTCGTGGGTTCCACCACCATCATCATCATCATCACGGTGGCTGTGAGATGTTGACTCCCTCGCCTCGTACACAGGAGGTCGTGGGTTCCATCCCGACCCTGAGGATGCCTGCTGCTGCTGTATATTTGGAGTCTGCATCTCTCTCTCTCATCATCATCACGGTGGCTATGAGATGTTGACTACCTCGCCTGGTACACAGGAGGTCGCGGGTTGGATCCCGACCCTGAGGATGCCTGCTGTATATTTGTAGTGTCTATGTCTCTCTCATCATCATCATCACGGTGGCTATGAGATGTTGACTACCTCGCCTGGTACACTGGAGGTCGTGGGTTCCACCACCATCATCATCACGGTGGCTATGAGATGTTGACTACCTCGCCTGGTACACAGGAGGTCGTGGGTTCCATCCCGACCCTGACGACGCCTGCTGCTGCTGTATATTTGGTATCTGCGTCTCTCTCTCCTCTCTCCCCGTGGTGGTCACTGCGTGGATTTGTCTCTGAATCCTCCGGTTTTTTCCCCTCCAAGTTTAGAATCAACGTCACCACGCACCCACACAGTGTTGGTCTGCTGCTGCTGCTGCTGCTGTCATGGTGTTGAGCCACTTTGTTGAGCTGCAATCATTTGTTTTAACCAAGTCGCTTCCGTCAAAAGGAGACCCACAGCAGTTCAGTGTTGGGGCCTTACCCTCACTCTGTCTCTCCATCTGTCTGAGACCCTATGTGTCCTGACTTTTGGGCCACCCTGTATAACAACACCCCCTATGTGTCCTGACTTTTGGACCACCCTGTATAACAATAACCCTATGTGTCCTGACTTTTGGGCCACCCTGTATAACAATCACCCTATGTGTCCTGACTTTTGGGCCACCCTGTATAACAATAACCCCTATGTGTCCTGACTTTTGGGCCACCCTGTATAACAACACCCCTATGTGTCCTGACTTTTGGGCCAGCCCGTATAACAATAACCCTATGTGTCCTGACTTTTGGGCCACCCTGTATAACAATAACCCTATGTGTCCTGACTTTTGGACCACCCTGTATAACAATAACCCTATGTGTCCTGACTTTTGGACCACCCTGTATAACAATAACCCTATGTGTCCTGACTTTTGGACCACCCTGTATAACTACATCCCCTATGTGTCCTGACTTTTGGGCCACCCTGTATAACAATACCCATATGTGTCCTGACTTTTGGGCCACCCTGTATAACAATAACCCTATGTGTCCTGACTTTTGGGCCACCCTGTATAACCATACCCCCTATGTGTCCTGACCGACGCTTCACTGCTCCGCCTGCACCACAGAGGCCAATGGAAGACGTGACGAGGACGAGGATGAGGAGGAGGAGGAGTTGGAGGATGGTTCAGATGAAGACTACGCAGAGGATGAGGAGGACGAGGAGGATTCAATGCAACACAGTGAGAGACCCATAGACTCAGCACACAGAGACCCATAGACTCAGCACACAGAGACCCATAGACTCACACAGCAGAGACCCATGGACTCACCACACAGAGACCCATAGACTCACCACACAGAGACCCATAGGCTCAGCACACACAGACCCATAGGCTCAGCACACAGAGACCCACAGACTCACCACACAGAGACCCACAGAGACTCACCACACAGAGACCCACAGACTCACCACACAGAGACCCACAGAGACTCACCACACAGAGACCCACAGACTCACCACACAGAGACCCATAGACTCACCACACAGAGACCCATAGACTCACCACACAGAGACCCACATAGACTCACCACACAGAGACCCACACAGACTCACCACACAGAGACCCACAGACTCACCACACAGAGACCCACAGACTCACCACACAGAGACCCACAGACTCACCACACAGAGACCCATAGACTCACATAGAGACCCACAGACTCAGCACACAGAGACCCATAGACTCACCACACAGAGACCCACAGACTCACCACACAGAGACCCACAGACTCACCACATAGAGACCCACAGACTCACCACACAGAGACCCACAGACTCACCACACAGAGACCCATAGACTCACATAGAGACCCACAGACTCAGCACACAGAGACCCATAGACTCACCACACAGAGACCTACAGACTCACCACACAGAGACCCATAGACTCATCACACAGATACCCACAGACTCACCACACAGAGACCCATAGACTCACCACACAGAGACCCACAGACTCATCACACAGAGACCCATAGACTCACCACACAGAGACCCATAGACTCAGCACACAGACACCCATAGACTCACCACACAGAGACCCACAGAGACTCACCACACAGAGACCCACAGACTCACCACACATAGACCCACAGACTCACCACACAGAGACCCACAGACTCACCACACATAGACCCACAGAGACTCACCACACAGAGACCCACAGACTCACCACACATAGACCCACAGACTCACCACACATAGACCCACAGACTCACCACACATAGACCCACAGACTCACCACACAGAGACCCACAGAGACTCACCACACAGAGACCCACAGAGACTCACCACACATAGACCCACAGAGACTCACCACACAGAGACCCACAGAGACTCACCACACAGAGACCCACAGACTCACCACACAGAGACCCATAGACTCACCACACAGAGACCCACAGACTCACCACACAGAGACCCACAGAGACTTCACTCCATTGCTCCAACATCACCACCACCCGACCGTTCCTCCCCGACACCACTGCCGACCTGCCCTGACCCCTGACCCCGACATCCGCTCGTGACCTACGCAGCACGCGGGGGAGGAATCCTTTACCCCTCCTGTTGCCCCCACCCCTACCCCCCCCTCCCTCCCCCCCTACCTCCGCTCCCACCCACCCCTACCCTCCTCCCCTCCTTCCCCCCTCTCCCTCCCTCCTCCCCCTCCCTTCCCTCCCTCCCTCCCTCCCTCCCACCCACCCCTACCCCCCCCTCCCTCCCTCCCCTACCTCTCCCCTCCCTCCCCTCCCCCCCCTCTCACCCACCCACCCCTACCCCCCCTCCCTCCCTCCCCTCCCACCCACCCCTACCCCCCCCTCCCTCTCCCCTCCCACCCACCCCTTCCCCCCTCCCTCCCCCCCTCCCCTGCACCCCCTCTCTCCCTCCCCCCCCTCTCACCCACCCCTACCCCCCCTCCCTCCCTCCCCCCCTCCCCTCCCTCCCACCCCTACCCCCCCCTCCCTCCCCCCCTCCCCTGCACCCCCTCTCTCCCTCCCCCCCCCTCTCACCCACCCCTACCCCCCTCCCTCCCCCCTCCCACCCACCCCTATCCCCTCTCCCTCCCCCCCTCCCACCCACCCTCCCCTGCTCCCCTCCCTCCCTCCCTCTCCCCTCCCCTGCACCCCCCCCTCCCCCCCCCCCACGTGACAGACAGCGTGCTCCAGAGGGTGGTGAACGCTCTTCGCTTCACGCTGGCGCTGCTGTTGGCGCTGCTTGACAGCTTTGTCACGTGGCTGGACTCGGTGTCGCGCGAGTACATCGACATTTCTGCCGTGCTCATGATCGAGCGCTACCTGCTCGCCAAGGAGCTCAAGAAGGTGTGGGTGTGGTGTCAGCGAAGAGTGAGAGAGAGAGTGAGAGAGAGAGTGTGAGAGAGAGTGAGAGCGAGTACATCGACATTTCTGCCGTGCTCATGATCGAGCGCTACCTGCTCGCCAAGGAGCTCAAGAAGGTGCGGGTGTGGTGTCAGCGAAGAGAGAGAGAGTGAGAGAGTGTGACAGAGTTAGAGAGAGAGAGTGAGAGAGAGTGAGAGTGTGAGAGTGTGTGAGAGAGTGAGAGTGAGAGAGAGAGTGAGAGAGAGTGAGAGCGTGAGAGTGTGAGAGAGAGATAGTGACAGAGTGAGAGTGTGAGAGAGAGAGAGCGTGAGAGAGAGTGTGAGAGGGAGTGAGAGTGAGAGAGAGAGTGAGAGAGAGTGAGAGCGTGAGAGTGTGAGAGAGAGATAGTGACAGAGTGAGAGTGTGAGAGAGAGAGAGAGTGAGAGAGTGAGAGAGAGAGAGCGTGAGAGAGAGTGAGAGTGAGAGGGTGTGAGAGAGTGAGAGAGTGAGAGAGAGTGAGAGAGTGAGAGAGAGTGTGAGAGAGAGTGTGAGAGCGAGTACATCGACATTTCTGCCGTGCTCATGATCGAGCGCTACCTGCTCGCCAAGGAGCTCAAGAAGGTGCGGGTGTGGTGTCAGCGAAGAGAGAGAGAGTGAGAGAGTGAGAGAGAGAGTGTGAGAGAGAGTGAGAGAGTGAGAGAGAGTGTGAGAGAGAGAGAGTGAGAGAGTGAGAGAGTGAGAGAGAGAGAGAGTGAGTGAGAGAGAGAGTGTGAGAGAGAGAGTGAGAGCGAGTACATCGACATTTCTGCCGTGCTCATGATCGAGCGCTACCTGCTCGCCAAGGAGCTCAAGAAGGTCGGCGTGTGGTGTCAGCGAAGAGAGAGAGAGAGAGTGAGAGAGAGTGAGAGAGAGAGAGTGAGAGAGAGCGTGAGAGAGAGTGAGAGCGAGTACATCGACATTTCTGCCGTGCTCATGATCGAGCGCTACCTGCTCGCCAAGGAGCTCAAGAAGGTGTGGGTGTGGTGTCAGCGAAGAGAGAGTGAGAGTGAGAGAGAGTGAGAGAGAGAGTACATCGACATTTCTGCCGTGCTCATGATCGAGCGCTACCTGCTCGCCAAGGAGCTCAAGAAGGTGCGGGTGTGGTGTCAGCGAAGAGAGAGAGTGAGAGAGAGAGTGTGAGAGAGAGTGAGAGAGAGAGTGAGAGCGAGTACATCGACATTTCTGCCGTGCTCATGATCGAGCGCTACCTGCTCGCCAAGGAGCTCAAGAAGGTGCGGGTGTGAGTGCAGTGTCAGCGAAGAGCGAGAGAGAGACAGCGTGTGAGAGAGAGTGAGAGAGTGAGAGAGTGTGAGAGAGTGAGAGAGTGAGAGTGAGAGAGAGAGAGTGTGAGAGTGAGTGAGCCAGTACATCGACATTTCTGCCGTGCTCATGATCGAGCGCTACCTGCTCGCCAAGGAGCTCAAGAAGGTGCGCGTGCGGTGTCAGCGAAGAGAGAGAGAGAGTGAGAGTGTGAGAGAGAGTGAGAGAGAGTGTGAGAGGGAGTGAGAGTGAGAGAGAGAGTGAGAGAGAGTGAGAGCGTGAGAGTGTGAGAGAGAGATAGTGACAGAGTGAGAGTGTGAGAGAGTGAGAGAGTGAGAGAGTGAGAGAGAGAGAGCGTGAGAGAGAGTGAGAGAGTGAGAGAGAGAGAGAGAGTGAGAGAGAGAGAGAGTGAGAGAGTGAGAGAGAGAGAGAGTGAGAGAGAGTGTGAGAGCGAGTACATCGACATTTCTGCCGTGCTCATGATCGAGCGCTACCTGCTCGCCAAGGAGCTCAAGAAGGTGCGGGTGTGGTGTCAGCGAAGAGAGAGAGTGAGCGTGAGAGAGTGAGAGAGAGAGAGTGAGAGTCAGTGAGAGCGTGAGAGAGAGTGAGAGTGAGAGAGTGTGAGAGAGAGTGAGAGAGTGAGAGAGTGAGAGAGAGTGAGAGAGTGAGAGAGAGAGAGAGAGTGAGAGAGAGTGTGAGAGCGAGTACATCGACATATCTGCCGTGCTCATGATCGAGCGCTACCTGCTCGCCAAGGAGCTCAAGAAGGTGCGGGTGTGAGTGCAGTGTCAGCGAAGAGCGTGAGAGAGAGAGTGTGACAGAGTGAGAGAGAGTGTGACAGAGAGTAAGAGAGAGAGAGAGTGAGAGCGAGTACATCGACATATCTGCCGTGCTCATGATCGAGCGCTACCTGCTCGCCAAGGAGCTCAAGAAGGTGCGCGTGCAGTTTCAGCGAAGAGCGTGAGAGAGAGAGAGTGTGAGAGCGTGAGAGAGTGTGTGAGAGAGAGAGAGCGTGAGAGAGAGAGCGTGAGAGAGAGAGCGTGAGAGAGAGAGAGTGAGCGTGAGAGAGAGACAGAGAGTGAGAGAGAGAGCGTGAGAGCGAGTACATCGACATTTCTGCCGTGCTCATGATCGAGCGCTACCTGCTCGCCAAGGAGCTCAAGAAGGTCGGCGTGTGGTGTCAGCGAAGAGAGAGTGAGCGTGAGAGAGTGAGAGAGTGAGAGAGTGAGAGTGTGAGTGAGAGAGTGAGCGAGAGAGTGAGAGAGTGAGAGTGTGAGTGAGAGAGTGAGCGAGAGAGTGAGAGAGAGAGAGAGTGAGAGAGAGCGAGTGTGAGAGAGAGCGTGAGAGCCAACCACTTCAACAAACTTTTCTCATCAGTCATCCCACACTCTTCCAATGAAATCCGCCCGTCGAAAAATCCGTCAAATCGAGGAACTACCTCGAAACGGCGCCCCCCAATTTACCCTTGAAGAGGTGAAACTCGCCATCAAAAAAAAAAGCGAAAAAATTACTCCGCAATTGGCCCTCGGATGGCATCGCTATGCCCCACCTGAAACACCTCGGCCCCCCCTTGGCTTGAAGTTCCTCGCCTTCCGCCATTAATGCCTCACTCCGGCGCAACCATCATTCCGGCCATCTGGAAATCACCGACGATCATCCCGCTTGCAAAACCCGCCAAAAGACCTAAATCAAGCAGCGTCCGACAGGCCGATTTCCCCACTCTGCCCATCGATCAAGACTTCGGAGGCCCTCCTCCTTCCAATCATCACTCGCCAACCATTCCGCCGTCATCACACCGCCAACACGGTTTTCGCCAACAACAGCAGCAGCAGCAGCAGCAGCTCGTCTCAACCCGAACATCCACATTGAAAACGGTTTCGAATGAGAAAAAGCCCTACCCCCCCCCGTTCCCCCGTCACCCCCCTATCGCCGCCCCCCTTGACCTTACAAAAGGATTTTCGACACCGTTAACTACCATCGTCCAGGGTGGCATAGATGCCCTGGGGCCTCGTTTGCCGGCTTTACAAATTCCCCGAAAGGGGGGTTCCGCCAATCGCGCGCGCCTTCCCTCGTGACGTGCAATCCTCCTCGCGAAACACTCACGGCTGGAGTGTCTACCGCAGGCTTCCGTGACAAAGGGCCTGCCTCTCCGATCTACCAGCCCCTCCGAATTGGAGCACAAGCGGACGGAACGGCGGTTTTTTGCACTCCGATTCAAAGTATATACCCCCAGAGCGGTGAAACTCCCCCATCGGCTCCGATCCGAAAGGGCTCGGTGCTTTCCCAGCCAAAGAGGTCGCTTCAACAGTCGCCCCTGTTCACGCCCGATGCTCACCGAGCCAACCTGCATCCCGACGTCTTTGATAAACGGCCAACGCATCCCACTGGCTAGATTTAAAAACAATTCTAGGTGCGTAACCTTCGACGGTTTGCTGTGTGATAGTCGGGTTAGTTGGAGGCCTTCAGCGTCCACATATACCAAACGCCTCACCGATCAATATCCGGCTTCGTGCGACTGGACAACGCGTCCTTGCGCAAAGCTACTCAAAGCCACCCACCCCTCCCCGCCAAGCACCTGCTTAGGTACTCTGAACGCTCTTCCGCCAAATCAACGTTGAACCGCTTGCACGCCGCTGCCACCGTGCGCTGCCTGAACTCCTACAAGCCGCCCCCCCCCCCAGCCCCCCAGTGTCGTGCTAGGGGGTAGGCCCCCCCCCCCTTCCCCGCCCCCGGCCAGAAGCAGACGACGAAAAATCCCAGACTCGGGGGCAACTCGCACGAAACCGACTCGACTCCGATCAGGTCACCGCTAGCCCCTTGCTCGCCGATTAACCGAAATGGAATCGACCGGAACGTCCCAAGCCACTGCCGCTACCGCTGCCGCTACCACCGCCGCTACCGCCGCCGCTACCGCCGCTACCGCCGCTGCTGCCCTTTGTGTGCCAAGAGCCGTCAGGAAGACGTCTCCCCCGTTGTTTTCTCAGGCGCCCAAAAACGCGGTCCCAAAAAGCTGACGCCGATTCACCTCTGGCTAGACGCGTCCACAGGGGGGTGACACAATGCCACCTGTGGACGGAAAGCGCGGGGGGAGAAAAAACAACAACAACATGATGATGACTACGATGATGATGATGATGACTACGATGGCGATGACGATAATCATGATAACGATGACGACGACGATAATAATGATAACAATGATGACGACGATGATGATAATCATGATGACGATGACGACGACGATGACGATAATCATGATGACGATGACGATGATAATCATGATAACAATGATGACGACGATAATCATGATAACAATGACGATGACGAAGACGACGACGATGATAACCACGATAACAATGACGACGACGATGACGACGACGACGATGATAATCATGATAACAATAATGACGACGATGACGATAATCATGATAACAATGACGATGATGAAGACGATAACCACAATAACAATGATGCCGACGATGACGATGATGATGATAACCACGATAACAATGATGACGACGATGACGATAATCATGATAATGATGATGACGAAGACGACGACGATGATAACCACGATAACAATGACGACGACGATGACGATAACCACGATAACAATGATGCCGACGATGACGATGATAACCACGATAACAATGATGACGATGACGACGACGATAACCACGATAACAATGATGACGACGATGACGATAATCACGATAACAATGACGACGACGATAATCATGATAACAATGCCGATGACGAAGACGATAACCACGATAACAATGATGATGACGACGACGACGATGAACCGACGCTGAAGGTCGCTGACCGTGCGTGCAGGGCAACCTCCTGTCCAAGGCGACACTGCGCTCGCTGTACGGTGACACCACGGCGCCGGGCGCC